AAGCGTCTTGACGACCTTGCCGGTCTGTGTTTCCGCAAATGCGACAAACTCAGCAAACTTGTCGGCCACTTCTGACTTGTTCCGGAGCAAATACATTACACAGAAGTGCGAGTACTCGTCGATGAACGTGACAAAGTAGCGTTTGCCACTGAATGTCGACGTCTGCATGGGACCACACACATCACTGTGAACGATTTCCAGCAGTTTCTTGGCGTGGTTGGGTGACTTGGACATGTAGCTCACTCGCGTTTGCTTGCCGAGTGCACATCCGTCGCACAGCTCCCACTGTTTCACCGACGTCATGTTGATGCCTGCACCGTAGTCCTTTTTGACGATGGCGTCTAGACCGCCATGGCCAATGTGACCAAGTCGAAGATGCCAGAGGTACGATGTGGTGTCCCCTTTGCGATCCTTCGAGCTTGCCACATTGGCCTCGTCGGGCACAACTGGTGTCATGCACAGCTTGAACAGCCCTTTGCCTTCACGCGCGCCGAGCTTCCAGTTGAGACCCTTTGCTTCCGCAAAACATCCATCCGTCTCGAACGTCACGGGACCAACATCCTTGGTGAAGCGACCAACCGAGAAGAGGTTGCGTGACAACTTGGGAATGTGCCACACATTCGTTAGCACACCCTTCTTGGTCCCCCGTGGAGTCTTCATGGACATCACGATGTCACCGGTCCCGACCGCCTGAGCTACACCATCGTCCGCGAGATGCACGTCCACTGGATACATCTTCTTTTAGTTCTTCATGTACTCCTTCGAGTACGTCATGTGCTGTGTCGCACCCGAGTCGACCAGCCACTTGTCACTTGACTTGGTGGTCTTGCTCGCACCACCAACCAAGAAGAGTAACTCGCCCGATTCTTCTTCATCGCGCGCGACGTTTGCTCGTTGCGGCCTATGTCGCTCCGCCTTTTCACGAATCCTCACCGGACACTTGGCGATCCAATGTCCTTGTTCGCCGCAGTAGTGGCACGCGCTTGTCTTTGGCGCCTGTCGTCCCTTGCGCTTCCCGTTGTCACTCGTCATGAACGCTTGACCGTGCGCGGCGCCGTCCGCACCGCCACCTTGCTCTTTGCGCTTCATGTCCTCATGCAGCAGCCGAGCCGTCACGAGTTCCCACGACAGTGAGTCAGCTCTCGACTCCAACGCCGTGATGAGGAACTGGTACGACTCGCTTAGACTTGCCAGAAGCGTGATCACCAAGTCGTCCTCGCTGACCGGAGCGCCCACTGCGTCGAGCTGTTCCGCCAGCGTCTTGATCTTGTTGATGTGCTCCAGCACATCATCACCTTCTTCCATCATCGTGGTGAAGAAACGTCGACGAAGGAAGAGCTTGTTCGCCAAACTCTTCTTCTCGAAGTGTCCTTCCAGCCTTGACCAGGCATCATGCGCACCATTCGCCGACCGAACCAACGGCAGCTGCGAATCCTCCATCGCGAGACAGATAATCGCCAGCGCCTTGCGCGACTTCCGCTTGAACGTCGCTTGGTCCAACGCGGTAGCGCAGTGCTCCATCTTCAGTTCGCCACTGACGACTTCCCACAGGGTCGCGCTCTTCCAGCACCATCTGCATCTTGAACTTCCACGTGTGAAAGTTGGTTCCGTCGAACTTGTTAATGCGGGCGGTCGTTGAAGTGGCGTCCATGGCGTAGGCGTAGTCTTGGGCAGAGTCTGCGGGGCTTGGGCTCATAACCAAAAGGAAGGTCGTTTGTGCACTAGATGATAAAATGCAAAGTGATTGATTTATTGGAGCTTACTCTGTCTTACGTCCTAGTCTGCATCCAATCATGTGGTGCATCCAATCATGGACTCGTCCAATCATCCTGTTCGTCCAATCATCTGTTTACGTATACATCCGTTTGCGCATTTGACTTACCGTAAACATCGCGGGGTCCTTGGAAACCGGTTTTACTGGTATGCCGAAGCTGGACGAGACGCCTTCTTGACAACAGGAACGAAGCTTGGGACTGAACGGAGTGACTTCTGCACTTGGTGCAGAGACCGGAGTGAAGGCACTTGAGCGGAAGAAGGAAGATTCGAAAGTGATTGATTTATCGGGGCTTACACTGTCCTCACTACCTAGGTCATCCAATCATTCTACTCGTCCAATCATTGGTGGCATAAACAACGTACCATAATCACAGCGGGATCGTATTGGACCGGTTCAGGTTGACCGGTTAATGGGTACAACTGGTACACAGTACCAAGACCAGCAACCCTCAATACGCCCCCTCAATGCGAACACGCGTGGATACCGAGAGCCGCTGCTAGGTCCATGTGACGAGGCCCTGGGAGCGCCTTCGTCATGATGTCAGCCAGCATCACAGAAGTCTCGCAATACTCGAGCTTGACTTCACCACGCTTGACTTCATCGCGGATGTGGTGGTACTTGATGTCGATGTGCTTGGCGCGGCCGTGGTTCACAGGATTCTTTGTCATCTTGATGCACGACTGGTTGTCTTCTTGGATCTTGAGGTCGGGTCCAGTCTCATTGGCAGCTGCTAATATCTCGCACAGTAGGCGATGAATCCACTTGCCTTCTTGAATTGCCAGACTTAGCGCGATGTACTCTGCTTCGCTCGTAGACAGCGAAACACTTGACTGCTTCTTGCTGCCCCAGCTCACTGGCGCACCCATCAGCATGAACGTAGCCGGAAGTCGACTTGCGGTCCGCGAGGTCACCAGCCCAGTCTGCGTCAGAGTATCCGCGAAAGTCGATGTTGTTACCCGGTTTGTAGCAGATTCCATGCGTCTTGGTGCCTTGCAGGTAGCGAAAGATACGCTTGACCGCAACCCAGTGTTCGTCTTGGGGATTCTCCATGAAGCGCGACACATAGCCCACCGCGTACGCAATATCTGGACGCGTCGCGGTCATCAGGTGCATTAGTGCACCAACAGCTTCGCGAAACGGAGCTTGTACCTTGGTCGCCGCGTCGCTTGGAACCAGTCGAGTGCTTATATCCACCGGACTTACCACAGCCTTGCACTCGTCCATACCAAAGCGCTTCAGTATGTCATCCACATAACGCCGTTGGCTCATCGTCACGCTGCCGTCCGGACCGTCTACCAATTCGATCCCAAGGACGAACACACACTTGCCGCTGTCAGTCATTTCGAAGCGTGTCTTGAGGTCGTCCTTCGTGCGTGAGATCAGCTCGGGTGAGCTTCCGGTGACCAGGACATCGTCGACGTAGACCAGTATGAGTACACAGTGGCCATCAACAACTTTGATGTAGAGGCACGGGTCAAAGGCCGATACTTGAAAGCCGATAGAGCATACGAACTCGTCGAAAGTCTCGTTCCACACGCGCGAAGCTTGTTTTAGACCGTAAATGGCCTTCACCAATTCCAGGCAGTCGAAGTCACCGTCGAGCTCGACACCTTCGGGAACCACGCAAAACACGATCTCCCTCATCACGCCGTACAGGAATGCCGTCACCACGTCTAGTTGGTCTAGCGGCCAGCCAAAGTACTTGGCCAAAGCGATCACCATGCGCAACGTCACGTACTTGACAACCGGCGAGAACGTCTCAGTGTAGTCGATGCCGTACTTTTGCTTGAAGCCCTTGGCCACGAGGCGTGCCTTGTACTTCTCGATCGATCCGTCCGCTTTGCGCTTGATCTTGAACACCCACTTGGTACCAATAGCGCGCTGTCCGTTCGGCAACTTAGCAGCACGGAACACTCCTCGAAGTCGCATCGACTTGAGCTCAGCACGAATTGCTTTGCGCCAGTGCACTTGGTCGGGGCCGTTCACCGCCTCTTGGAAAGTCGCTGGCTCCGATAAGTCCACCGCAGCTTCGACTGCGTTGGCACTTGCACGCCAAAACACGGGGGGAGTCGATTCTTCATCTTGATCTCCAGCTTTTTCTTCTTCGTTTACGTCTGCTCGACGTGAAGACGAATTGGTCGGCGCACTTGCTTCTTCCAGTCCGGGTCGATGACGCGTAGCTCGCGGTCTTGTGGCAGATTCATCTTCACTCGGGCGGCTCTTGCGCTTTCCCGCCTGCCTGTGCTCCGTCTGACGCGAACCGTCATTGTCGATGTCGAGAGATTCGAAGTCCAGGTCGTCGACGTCTTCATCGGAAATTGGCTCTGAAAGTCCAAAGGTCGATTCATCGAAGTTGTCGCCGTTCCAGTCCTTTGAAACTACGACAGCTTCTGCTCGCATTGGGGTCGTGTGTACCAAAGTTGAAAGCATTATCTCGTCGCTATCAAGGATGTGTATCTGCGAACCATGTCACATTTGCGAACTCGATGAATCTTCAGACACATGTATCTACAAGGAGCAGGAAGGACTCGATTTATCGGATGGATCGGACTTAATGACTGACCAACCTTTGCTCGAACCGGCAGATTGGTTCCTAACCGAAGAGGAAATTACAGCGTCGCGAAGGATTTTTCCTCGAGCCGATCTGGCCACTTACACGACGGGGAACGTTGTGGACACGTACACAATGACCGAGGAGTTTTTCGATGCTGCATTTAAAGACCTCTCTTCCACCACGTCAGGAGATCGAGTGATGCTGGCGGGCTGGAGCACAGACCTGATTCCGTTCCAGCCCAAGGTTGATAGTGGTAATAAGTCTCGATTTAACAGTGTGATTGAAGGCGTGGTCCAGCGAGGTGGCACTTTCAACGCATTGGTATGGGCGAATTTGATAGAACAATCGCAGAACGTCAAGGTTCGCGACGTCATAAACGCTATTCCAGCGCCATCGATTTTAGGAGATAAACCGCTTTTCCTCTTTGACGATCGAGCGACCACAGTCACATCTTTGCATCACCAAAAAACTCTGATTATTGCGTCTCGCAACTCCACCGGAGTTGATGAACACCCTGTGGCTTTTGTTGGCGGAGTTGATATCACATCGGATCGCTGGGATACTATCTACCACAATGAGTCAGCTCGTCGCAAAGATACCGGTGTCAAAGTGAAATACGACGGCTGGCTTGATGGTCATGTTAGAATTCATGGTCCTGCTGCAAAGGATCCAAAATGCTCGCTCACCTAGATACCATAAAAGGTGTTGGTTCATTTAGACAGCAGGACGGTGGCCATGGAAGTCGGAATCCGCTAAGGAGTGTGTAACAACTCACCTGCCGAATGAACTAGCCCTGAAAATGGATGGCGCTAAAGCGGGCTACTTATACTTTGCCGTTAGCGCGATAGCATTTATAATGTACGCGTTAATGAGTAGGAGGGC